ATATACACAAACTCCCTTTCGTTGGTACATAGTATCTAAAGAGATCTTCAGGGTGTCGGGTCTTTCGTACGGGTCGATTATTCGCAGGCGATTTTCGCGTTTCTCAACGAACTGTCATCCCCTTTCCGAGAGAAGAAATTCGAACGATTTACTGAACGAATAGTAATCTAATCTATTTCTTTTTTCAAGCGCTTGAAAGAACTTTACAATAACAATAACAATTATCTTTTATCTCGCAAACGAATTTTTATACATATTTATTACTGAAATCGTAATTGTTTCTTATTTCTTATTATATTTAGTTACACATATAGAAACTTGTATATACAATTATATTATATAATTATATACGTAGAATATATATTATATAATATACTGTATAACTGAATTATTTTTGTAATACTTAAGTAGAATGTAATCATTGGATGGTGAATCAAAATCTAGAAAACGAAACATGGAGTTCCTTTGGCAAGTGTCTGGAAAAAAAAAAGATTTAGATGGCTATTGCTGCGAAGTCTTCAATTGCATTCGATTTTTCGAGGGAAATCGTCTGTGCGTAAGCAATCTCAGGTACGATACAGTACTGTAACACAATAGATGTAAGAAGCGAAGAAAGAGAATAAAACATCGACGGCATCTCTTCCTCGGGAATAAGAGAGAGAAAGAGAGAGATGCGTTTTTCGCAGCAAAGGAAAGGCGAGATGAACTTCATCAATGCAGCTACCTACGAGTATCATCTAGATTAGAGATTTAGGCGGCGTGAAAAGGCGAATATCGCGTATATATGTACCTAGACTCATTTGTAACACGTCGAGGAAAGATGATCGATTAATTTGTTCAGTGTCTATCGTTCGTTCCCTACGACGTACGTGGAAGACGACAAGCCTGTACATAGTGATATGATAACGCCGAGATACACACAGCTCCCTCCCGAATGTTGTATCATAATAATATAATAATATTAGTATTAACAAAAAATAATAAATGCATATGGCGCGATCGCAGAATTGTCAAGCTAGGGTAATAGAGTAAAGAAGAAAAAAAGAAGAGAGAGAGAGAGAGAGAAAGAGAGAGGAAAAACGATGAGAAAAGAAGCGAAAGACTCTATTTACAAAACGTGATTATTATCCACGAAAACACGCTCTGTTAATGCGACTAATTACAAAACAAAGTAACTGAAAATTAATTATAGCGAGCGAGAGCATACCACGCCTACAGTAAAACTACAGATGTAGCATACACGATAATATTATTATCAAAACAGTTCAATGTAAATTGTTATTTTTGTTGAAATAAAAATCACCTCCGTTATAATAAGGAGCATCTCGCTTTCGCCTTTTGATTTCGCTCCGCATTGTTCCTCTCGAAAGAGAGTGATTTTTTATTTAAAAGAAAGAAACATATTTGCAAAATACAGGGTGAGCGAGAAACAAATTCTCAAATGAAAAATCAATATTTTTTTTTTCTGTTTATTATGATTACGTGGGCCTAGTTGGGAACGTTCGTTATGAAAATATTTACTCAAAAAAGCGATAATTCATCTTGATATGCAATACATGTGTATCCCACTATAAGATAATTATTGGATTGATTCTTTTTTCATCATTTTATTTTGTTTTGTACAAAGCGCATACAAAATATACACACATTAGACATTCTCGTTGCTCTGTCGAACAGTAACAAAGATTTTCGTTGAAATAGATCATAAAATATTACATAAATCTGTATAATCTATATCTTGCATTCAAATGAGGCACACTTGTCTCTTCGCGGTCAACGTCAAAATTCATGCTCATTATTCTTATACATTAAAATATTATACAATGAGGAATATGTCATACGTAGGAAAATTTACGCATCAATAGATGAGAAGTAGATTTTACCCATTATTGCTATTATTAAAGACTATATCTATTTTACAGAATCAATTTATTTATGGGAATTCTGTCATCAACATTGTAATCGAGTATAATAATAAGTAATACGTAGGAAACTTAAGAAAAGAGGGTAAAATATAAAAAAAAAACAGGTAAGTTAAGACATATTTTATCGGAATATTAATAACAAATGTCTTCCGATTATTTTTACATTAGTTAAAGTATATGTTTATGATGTTCTTTTTTCTTATTTTGAATTCTAGAATAACCTCTGAAGTAGTATTGATTATTGACATACAACTAAGAATCATCTTGTATAATTATTAATGTAAATTATGTAAATATGTATGTTGTATGTATATGTAAATAACATTTATAATTATATTATAAATTATTTAATTATAATTAATTTCCTTTCATTGTTAAGCATAGGTTTATAATAGCAGCCTCACTCTTTTCACTTAACAAATAGTAAAAATAATTATTTTCACAGCGAAAGATACAAACGGCTGCATTGATCAAATAAAATATAAAATCTTAAAATATTTATATAATAATTCTTATAGATATTAGGGAAGAGCGAGGTACGACGGATTACACAGAGTAAACTGGCCTAGTTGTAAAATCTTATTAAGAATATTTGCTAACAAGATTTAGCAACTGAGTCATTTTTCCCGTTTTTCGTTTTATCCCGTCTTCTCCTATTGTCTAAATTGAAACTATTATAGTCGATTATTGTCATACAATGTCTATTGCATTCAACTAAAAATTAATTATAGTCAATCTTCCAGAATAAGTTATTCACAAATATATCCTTTATCCAGGGATATATTGGAGTAGTATCCTATTAAAGCAATATCCTGTCTGTCCAGTATTTGTATTACGAACACAAGTTATAAAGCTGACTCTTGTTTTTCTTTTTATATCGAAATAATAATGATTTAATAAATTAATATATCGTGCAAATCAGGTACATGAAATAAACCATGTGCTCAGGTATATTTTATTCATAAATTTAAAATAAAATAAATAAATCTTTCAAAAATGTTAATATACTAGTTTGTATCTCTGTTGAGTATGACATTACGTTCATGTCTATAACAATACAATTTATATGAGATATATATATATATACACACACACACACAGTGTTGAAACGTATCTAGGTAAAAGTATCTAGATACTTTAGTTGTACCTAAGTGCATTACCTAGATCCTTACGGGCGGAGATACCTGTATCTAGTTACTTTTTGGTACGGTATCTTTTAAGTTTTAGATAAATAAGTACAAGGTACTTATACATTTTATTTGATGTCATATTGGAAATTAATTTTTTATTACTGTAAATCGTCTTTCTTCTCTAATTCTTAACTTTGTACAAGTGCTATCATTTGTCCCCAACCTATGGGATCGCCTCTCATGAGCTGATACAGCGAACTGAACTGAATCAAAAAATCCTTTACCATTTACAAGCGACCGCGATGGGCGTATACTTGGTAGTAGTTCGCGCCGATATGTGCTTATTTAATATATTTAGAAATTAATATCTCCTAAAGTATTAGCAAAAATTGTCAAATGGTAAAAGACTTTAAAATGTAGTATATTTTACGCTGCTTAATCTTTTTCTTTTCTTATTTTCTCTATTTTTTCATTCTTCTCTATTTTTCTTTTCTTCCTTTTTTTTAAGTACCTAAAAAGTACTTAATTTTTCGATGACTTTAAAATGTAGTATATTTTACGCTGCTTAATCTTTTTCTTTTCTTATTTTCTCTATTTTTCTTTTCTTCCTTTTTTTTAAGTACCTAAAAAGTACTTAATTTTTCGGATACTTTTTTCTTGTATCGGTATCTATACTTAGGTAATTATAAAAAAATGTATCTGTACTTATGTCTAAATACTTTTTTTCCACATATTATTTATACCTATAACTAGATACCTTTTAAACGGTATCTGTTCCAACACTCTGTGTGTGTGTGTGTGTGTGTGTGTGTGTGTGTGTGTGTGTGTGTGTGTGTGTGTGTGTATATATATAATTCAATACGAATAAAAAGCCTCTAAAAAAAGCCTAAAAACATAGTGAGATTTTTCTACATTATGTGGAAACAATGTCATTCGGTAGAGACAATCATATGCAGACAACAAGGATTGCTTTTCCATCAATTACAATCGCCATCAGGTTTTTCGCATTGGATTTCCATTAAATTATCTGATTTAATGGAAATGTCAGATGGAAGTATCCAGCGATGTTATAAGTACGAAAGTCATAGTTAGAATATTCATGTAATGTAAAAAAATCTCACTATATGTTAAAGGCTTTTACTATTGAACCCCTAAACACGGGTCGAAACGTATGAACATTTTCAATTTGTAACTGATTATAATAAATTGTATACGCAACAATAACCAGCGTCGGCTCTCAGAGGCTTTTTATTCATATTGATTTATATCATTAGAGCCTACACAACTATATGATGGTTATGAATATATTTATTGCAACGTTCTCATGAAATAAGAAATTAATTATTTTGTCGAACGCAGTTTTATATTCATATATCTAAATTATGGAACACATAAGTTATAAATTATATACAATTTTTTTCTTTCAACAAACATCTGAAAGGTTAATCTTGTGTCCCATTGTAATTATGATATCTTCAAATTTGATAAAAAAACAGTACTAAATGTATGTGTAGATTTTATTAAGAATTCAATACTTTGTAGTTTTTTTTAGATCTTAGATTCTAAACGTCATTCAAATTATTGAAGATAGAATATGTTTGTATAATGCATGAAGTATTATTGGAAGATTAATTGACGTTTTATGTATGCAATAAAACATTGTTTTATGTGTGCAATAAAACGTTGTACATACTGATGGAGGTAGTTCATCTATGCAGTTTATTTTCAAACAGTGAGGCAATAGTTCTAAAATAGAAATATTAATATTCCGCATAGCTTCGATGTCATTATTCAATGTGTCAAACTTGCAAATAATATATTTAATATATGTAGCAAAAGTATCACAGAATTTGTTGTTCTACTATTTGCTCTCGAAAACGTGTATATAAAAAATACTGTGTTTACGATTAATATATTCTTATTATACGAATCTTAGAGTCTTATCTTTTCGCGATAAAGTTTATACGAAAGTAAGCTATTTTGCTCGATATTAAAAATCTATTACTTTATACTATAAAATGACATAACGAATATAATCTTGTATATCAACTAACATATAAAAATATGTAGCACATTTATGCATATACTTACAATTTTAAGGCAAGTTATTTTTCTTTCAGTAATAATATTTGTCTCTCTCTCTATCAATATGTGTGTTTGTGTGTCGTTAAATAATTCGAATAAGATAAATACCGATATAAATATCATCAGTCGTAATACGAGGGATACAATATATTCCATAAAATAGCTGCAGTCATGAGACCCGTGAAAGTAACTATGCTGGCCCACCAAATAACTTTTTCCCAAGTTTGTACCTCGAGATTTCGAAGGATGTTTATACCTACTAGAAGACCTGCTATAGCACCAGCCAAATGGGCCACATAGCCGATTTGGTCATGGGTAACAAGAACATAACGATTGTATACGGCTTGGCCGATGTCAACACTTGTGATAACGAGGAACACTAATAGCTGTAGCACGGCAAATTCCATTTGCGACCAGTTCATTATAATGGTTGCTACGTGGGCAGTGATTAATGCATACACACCACCCGAGGCACCAGCCAGGTAAACTGTTGGATCTGAAACGGATGTACCAAGGGAACCGGCCAGTACTCCAGCTATGTATATTAGCAATACTCTCCACCATTTATGAACCATTTCCAGTGGAACACCCAACATAATTTGTACCAGGAGATTAACGACCAAGTGGAAGACTCTATCAAACACAAAAGGAATTATAAACGTTAAAAAATCACAAATTCTTATCAGATATTATGGAAATAGGTAGGCGTAGGTTATAAAATAGAGTATTATACATACCCGACGTGTACAAACATATATGTTAGATACCGCCAGGCTTGGTACCTCTTGTGCGGATTATAAATAAATAAAGTAGCTGCTGGTCCTTCTACAGAAAGAGATTTGTGCTTAATCACATCATACATGAACAAAATGATTTCTATTATCGATATGATTATCATTGCTATAGCCGGTGGTCGACAACTGTACTCTTCTTCGTACTGCCCATCTGGATAGTCGCTAGAGTACAGAGAAGATTCCGTTATTGTACTTGTTTGTTGCTGTAAACCATTAAAACGTGCAGAACGTGCAACTCTTTTACTACTCGGGGGAACACTAAAGCTCCGGCTCTCGCTCCGGCTGGAAGGAGGAGGAGAAGGTGGTGCTTGCATTACAATACTGAATTGTCGCTGGGGATAATACCTCGAGCCCACGGAAGTTTGCCTTAATGTGCGGCATGGTCGTTGAGGTATTACGCACTGCACATATCGTTGCACAATGTGTCCGAATATACCCTGCATGTCCTTTCTATGGATCTAAATATCAAAAAATGATTGATATAAATTATCGGTAATTAGAGATTTCCAAAATGTTTTACTAACGAAATATGGAATATCAATTCAATAAATAAAAAGGGCCATGAGCCAAAGCAAGTTATTATTGCTAATATTTTAATGTAAAAACTTTCATAAACAAATGTTTCGTCCTTTTGGGCTTCTCAATGTTAAATTCTAAATACATAATAAAAGTCTATTTTAAACTAAAAATGGTAAAAGAACTTCTTAGAAGGTTGAAATGTTTGTTTATGAAAGTTTTTACATTAAAATATTAGCAATAATAACTTTCTTCGATTCATGGCCCTTTTTATTGAATTGATGTTAATCATTTTGAGTCATTTTATATTTTTTGGAAATATGGAAAGATAAAAACAAATATAATTTCCAGTATCCTTAAAGATTAAATCAAGAGATCTCTGACTAACCATTGCTATGAACTCTGGGTATTCTAAATAACCGGAATCGTCCAGGTCTGCTTTATGCATTATCGTGCGGACTACCCCAGCAGGGATGTCTTTAGAAAAATCTGGACCTCGTATCATTGCTTTTAACTCTTGTAGTGATATTTTTCCATCTCCGTCAAGATCGTATTTCTCAAAAATAGCTTTCCAATGCTGTAAAATAAATTAAACAATTAAATATATTATTAATTTGGTAAAGATATAAAAATGTTTAGCAAACATTATATTTTCGGTAAGATTTCTTAGACTGTGACCAGATGTTGCCAGCAATAATGTATTAGTGGTATAGAAGTTGTAAAGGAAAACACTTTCCTTTACAAGTGAATCATACACTTAAGCCTAAGTTGTGGTATGAGTCATTTGTACGGAAAACTAAGCTTCTAGTGAAGAGAAAATAATCACAGAAAACAGTAAAAAAAAAAAAAAAATTTTAATATGATTAATATATTTTAACATTATTTTAATTATATCTATTATATACACTTTAATATACAATTGAATAAATAATTTTAAAAAATGTCTAAACACATTAACAAAATAATGCATCTATACCACTAATTTCTTCAGTGGTAAATATAAAATACACTTACAGCTTCATTATACTGCAGTGGGATGGTCACTGCAGTCTCGCCTTCCCGATTAGTTGGCATCCTTATCAATTTGAAACCTCTGTAAAGTAAACATTAGATAGGCGTCAGTAAATGACGTTTTATGTCTTGCTAGAACTTTGTAAATAATCAACACAAGTCTTAAAGCTAGAATGGCATAGTAGATCTCTCACTCTTCTAAATTTGTTTCTGAATTGGATCTCTCACTCCTCTCTCTCTCTTGCTATCAAGTATCTATCTATACTTACTAATGGCAAGAGATCTATGCAGGAAGAATTTGAAGAAAATGCCGAGGAGGCAGAATCCTGGCTCATCGCACCTAAAAGACTGTATCGCAAGGTGGAAGCCATGCGACAACGATCGTGTAACGATCAAATAGCGAACACGCAAGGAACACGTTTTACCTGACAAACCAAACACTGAGGTCACTGAGACGTCAATCGTGAATCGTGCGTTAGGTAGTTCGCACGCTTGTACGAGCAGAAGGCTGTGAAGAGTGACTCGCTCCGTCCGGCAAAATATCTGAAGTTACTTTGTTCAATGAGACAGACCATGAATACGACCACCCACATGCACCTGCGCTCGTGACATTAGATCTTGCGTATCGAACAGTCACTATGACCCGATAACGTCGCAGTGACACATTTTCTTATCTCTCGCAGATACGACGTGAGAAGTCGATAGAGACGCGCCGCGGCGTCCTGTCAACGGCGTCATGGACGTCGCTGAACGTCGCGGAACCATTCGCATTCCACCTGTTGGCCATCCGTGCGATCAGCGATGCGTCCATCGCGCCGCTACGATGCGCGTGCTATCGCCAAATTCTACGTACACATATGTACCCAGCGTATCTAACGTATCACAAATGTACATACATACCCTAACCTTCAAGATCGGAGCAAGCTGCGAATGGTCAAATGACGGGGGGAAAGCCCGAGAATTCACCGAGATCACGGCTGATCACGGCATTCACCGATTCACGGCCTGGGAAACCTTGAGAGGGAGAAAGAGACGCGCCACTGACCTTTATCGTTTCGCTTACATACTATCTCTCTCTCTCTCTCTCTCTCTCTCTCTCTCTCTCCCCCCTCCCTTCCCCGGAATCGAATTTTCCGCGCTCGATCTCTCGGGGCACTCAGAGCAGGTGTCGATACAAGAGCGAGCGAGCGAACGAGCGAGAATTAACGGTATAATACCGTTTCGAACGGCTTCATTTTTGCCAAATGCCAAGTCGTGGCGACGGCCAGAGACATTCGGAGAAGATACGAAAATCGAACGATCGCTGGAAAGTGTACCGCAAGGTTAATAGACCTACCTACTTTTTTTTTTCGTTTCTTTTTGAAGCGGGTCCTCTGTTTTGGAGGAACAGACTCCGACGTTTTGGAGGATAGACAACGACCGATGACTTTCTCTTTATCTCAATAACCGAGCTCACCGAGCTCTTGGGTCTTTTTGTCTCAACCTTACAGGATGGATAGACAATAGTCGGGTGTAGATTCTTTTTTTAACCCGATTGCTCTGCGTTCTTTTTTTTATAATAGTTATATACTATATATGGGACAAGTAAACACAAATACTTCAAATTCGAAAGAGAGAAAGAGAGAGCCCTGATGAAAATGAAAATCGGATATAATCGGAGAATAACATCTAGAAGTGTAAACAAAACTTCTAGAAGGCAAAAATTGGAACAATGAAATGTAAAAGAAGCATTTACACTTGTTTTACATTTTAATGTTTCAATCTTCGCCTCCTAGAAGTTTTGTTCACTCTTCTGTTACTCTCCTATATACATTCGACTTTACGCTCTGATTTTTATTTTCATCAGGGAGAGAGATTTTCTGCTTTATTCGAAATGCTCTTTTTTTATAGATACAGGATGTATAATATCCTAGACAATTCAAGGTTTCCACAATGCAACGCACGTCGTAGTTGTTCATACATCGATCGTTTATTGTACGGAGGATGCCCGTCAGGAAATACCTACATCTAATCGCGAGAAGTTGCGACATCGATCGTTTACCGATGTATTCATCAGCGTGGCGTACCGTTCTGACTCATTGGAAATTTGCTAATCATTGCTAATGAAGCTATTAAAAGAAATAAAGGGAGAGAGAGAGAGAGAGTCTCTACACACGCGCAATACAAAGAATGTGCATATCACGATTACGTATTGTTCAGGTAAATGCGAATCTAAACGGAGATATATTTTTCACGTCAACAATGATAATTTTTCCAAGTTATTAACGAGTATATTTTCATCCTTCCCGCGGCGGGCAGACTATACATCACTATATGCACCACGCATCTCGAATTTCGTGATGATGACGCTCTACGTCTATATACGCGTCTACGTAGTAGATGGTAGTAGACCACACCTCGCCAGCCGGAGCGAAGTTGCCTAGCGACGTTACGAATCAACAAACAAGCCACCCGGCCGACCCGAGAATCCCGAGATCATTGACAGCCACCGTTAGCTTTTAGCTTATTCAGCGTTCCGCAGTTTCCGTTTTGTAACAATAATCAAATCGAGTCTATCGTGTAAGATAGCGCGGCGAGAAAGGATGGCGGGCAAGAAAGAGAGAATGAGGATAGCGGCGAGTTATAGAGTGAATGAGCCGATACATAATTTAAAGATAAGGTGTGTCTTTCCTGTATTTAAATGCGTGACGTACAGAAATTGAAATTATAATATTGAGATAATAATTCGATTCGGTAGAATTTGAAATTGAACGTAATATAAAAAAATGAAGCTGTGCAATTATGCTTGCGGAATTTTCTGCAATATGCAATAGCATAACATCTGATGATGAGTAAATCAGTAGGAAATTTCTGAAGGCTATAGAAGGAAGTGATAGATTGAGTCCCTGTTTATCATATGAATCTATTAGGCTTGCATCCGAGAATAGATTTATGTAATCGATTAAAAGAACAAGTTTTAGCTCATTGTTTCTCATTTGTCATATACGCTATTTAATAGATTACGATATATGAAAAGATTATGCAATGTTGCTTATAAAAAGGCTAATTAACATAATTCTCTTTGTATAGATGGACATAAAAAATACTACAATTACCTTCACGTGATAAACATTGAATTAAACTTTACATTGCAGAAAATTCCGCATTCCCAACTCGTAAAGATTAACCAAACTCGATGGTTAAACATGAAGGAGACAGCATACTTGCTCAATGCAGTAATACAAACCTCTAACATCGAGATGTTACGTAACTAGCCCGCGTGTACGTCGCGGTTACTTTTTTTTTCATGTATCATCACTGATATTTGCGTCGGTGATTATATCTTTTGTTTCGAGATAATGTGATTCCTATGTTTTTCGTGAATTGATTTTCGAAAGGAATGTTAAAGGAATGTTTAAGTTCAAGTTTTTACGATATCGTCAACAATGACAAATTTCAGACTCGTAGAAATACCTATTATTATCATCGAGTGTTATACATTCTATTTACTGGAGCGTAAAACATCCAGTCAAAAATACACGAGAAATTAAAATCTAAAAAATATTTTTTAACGATATAACACAAAATATTTGAAATATCTTTCTGCCACGTGTTTATCTTCTTTATACCACTGAGAAAATTTTAGAAGTTCCTCACGTAAGAATTACGTAAAGCTAATTACAAACTTGATTCTCTCGTAATTAATTCGTAATCGTTGGCAAGAATGTGGCAAAGATGAAACAGTGATTGAATGTCTTATTGGCCTTATCTACGTTCCCGCAAAATCAAAGAATGAACTGAGTATTTGATCGCAAACTACTTTTTCAAAATGATACCAGGTTTCATTTAGTCGGCGTTTATTTGTTGTTTTAGGGTGCGAGTCATGCAAGAGAGGTCCCCGTTGGCTGAATTGCTGGCCGAGGAGTCTGAGAGCGGAGAGACAAGAGACTCCAACTTTTTAGAAGAGGAGGACTGTATTTTTAACTGGCAGGACAAAGTGTTCAGCTTATTCGAGATAGACTTCTATGCGGACGAAAAAAATTGCCTAACCGAATGTCAGCGAGAGTACCAGCAGCGTATACGTGACGAGCAGCTGCAGGGTGCACGTTTGTATTCGTACACGGAAAATGACTCCTACTATCCCGATGATGACCTCCTGACGATGCCTTACAGGCAGGGATCGAATTTAATTGTTAGATATTGTACAAATGTTTGTTATTCGATTGCGAAGAGTTTCGACAAAATTTTTATCGCAACATTTATTTTAAAAGAACATACATTAACATCTTTTTTTAAATGCATCTATTTTTTTAATAAAAACAAAATAGGTGTAAAAGATAAATTATGATCGACTCGCGCTTTTATTTTTCTAAGACAAAAGGATTGCTGTGTACATAGAAACGCCTTTTTCATTTAGTTTAGAAAAGGCTAAGATTCATATATTTTAGGTTTGTTATATACATCGAATTCGAGGTATCGAAAAACATTAGAGAACATTCGTGTGGGTTTTGTGGTTCCTTCTTGTATCTCATAACTTTCGAAAATTTTAAATATTTTCATTCTCGCTTACAGATCGTATCTGTCCGTGAAGAATCAGATCGCGTTACCGGCTTTGCGGAATCGCAAGTCCTTTCAAGAGCGATATAACAAGAATGTGATAGATGACAAGATCACGAATACTATGATCCAGTCCAATCATTATCTCTATACCGAACATACCACCATGTACATGATGGCCGATCTGTCGCGTAGGGATGAACCCGCAACCATCGGATCGACGGACTCAGAGACGCTTCTCTGCACGTTGACATATGACAAAACGCGCAAATTGCTGACGATTAATCCCGATTTCACGACCGACGACGAGCACGAGCAGCACTACAACGTCACCAACGATTACGGCGTTAGGTTTAATTATTGGATCGAGCACGTTTCCGAGGAGCGAACACCGCTGGAATTACAGGAGCACCTCGAAGACGCGCGGCGTGTAAGTATGCGGTTATTTACGATGCGAATGTACGATTGGCATACCAAACTTTCGCGTCACCACGCGCGCACCGATCAAAAAGACGGTCTTTTCGTGGAAAGACCAATCTTGGCATTCCCGAACGACGTCCGTTTATTTATCCTCCAACCGCAGTTACATTAATAACCAATAATTCTTTCCGCTCTGACTCATTCGCTCTTTCTCTTCTTTTCCGACTTTTGCGTAACGTAATATTATTTATAATTTAGTAATGATTTATATTTATTTAATAGTTAATAAATAGTTGATTAATTATTTAATTGATAATTAATGGCAATTATTGGATATTATAATAATTGAAAAAATATGTTTCGAATATGACTTGGGTGGTAAACAATAACATACAAAATTAGAAGCGCACTTTTTTATTTCTATTTAAATTATATTTATTAATTTCATTTATCAGTATCAGATCATAACAATATTTAGTTACGTTAATAGTCGAGGACCGAAAATATGAGGTATGTTACTTTGAGAGAGTACTATTGCTTAACTTTGTGTGTTTTAAATGTATATAATGTAATGCTGGTCATCATTACTTTGCGAAAAATCAACTGATAATAAGAGGTACGTGTGGCGCAAATAATTACGGTATTTCACAACGATGACGTAATTACTGTCGAAAATCATTTTCGCAATATTTACATAGAAATCTTGGAGACATATATTGTTTTATTATCTTCTATATGATTTTAATAAGAAAACGAAAAAATTATACATTATGAAAATCATCGGATTATCGTAATAATAAGTGTATAACGATCATTAATAAAATTTGAGTTTATTTAAATAAAATTACATAAATTCATAAAAGATTGTGAAATTGTAATACATTAATTACGTAATATTGCACAAGCACAATTAATTATACTCGTATTATATTATATCAACAATATAATTTACTTTGCTTCGAAAGTCTGTGTAGTTATTTTTACTTTTTGTAGAAGCAGTTCTCGGTTATGCGCTAATAGT